TGCGCGTTCCTTTGTCTCCAGTGCTCGAGGGGAGCCGCGCTGATACAAAGTATCCGCTTGCGGTTTTGAGTTAAGCGCCGCCACCTGTCAGCAATCAGCTCGTGGTTTCACTTCCCCTTTTTCTCTGCTCTGAAATTGACTAGGCGAAGCTGAGCTGCCGTTGCATGTCGGCTGAATCTGACAGCTAGATTGTTTTGAATTCTATTTCTGTCTTCTAGTGGGAGAATTATTTCTCACACAGCAGCAGCAGCTGCCAAGAGTGGGGGACAAAAAAGGCAACATGGTGGCCATGACAATGTACAAGCGGGCAAGGTTGCAGAGCTAAAGGCACTGCCATGATTGCCACCTTCCCTTCTTTGATGGCCCCACTCCTTGTGGAAGCTCGTATCAGTCAGCGAAAAGATTCCCCAAACCAAAGACAGATGGAAAGCAGCCAACCTGCTTAAAGGGAAGGGCCGGGCAGTCTGTCCTATGGGGCAGGAGGAAGCAGGATAGGCAAGACTGCTGCCATCTAAAGGCCATTTCTTGAACACAGCTGTTGTGGAGATGCTTGGGTTATGGCTTCTCAACTTCCTTCAGTCAGTATGTTCTTGGATTTCTTGGGAGCTTACCTCAGTGGAGCCAAGTCTGACGCTGAGCCCAATTTGGTAATGTTTGTGAATCTAGACAGTGTTCCCTCCAAGCCTTCATAAAACACAACTAATGAAACTATTGCAAGGTACCCAGGAGTGATCCTTATGGTGTCTCACTTGGTCTCTTCAATTTAATGAGGAACTGCTGGGAGCAGAGCACTCTTTCAGACAGGGTTTCCAAGCCAGATTTTCATCCATTTGACATGCCACCCACTTCAGTCCAATCAACATGGCACAAGCTGTTTCTGACAAATGCCCCACCAAGACAGAATGGCTGGGGCAAGAGAAATAAAATCAATACAGGCACAAGTGGGAACTCTCCACAGCTGATTTCTCCCAGCTGGTAATGAGCCTTCCTGATTCCTTATATACAGGATATGTGTTTGTGTGTGTACAAATATGGGGCACACTTGTTGATAAAGAAACATCTTCTGCAGCTGAAGACAAGATTAGTAGAAACCCACAAAGGAATTAATTATCACCTTCTCAGAGTAACAAAGGTGAAATTAAGCAAGACCCCCACCCCCAGCCCCTGAAGAGGCTTTGTAATGAAATAGCTGGTAACAGTATAGGCTTCTTCCTATGAACTCAAATTCTCTTTGGGGGAAAGTTTATTAACAGAAAACAAAAGTCCTTTTTCCTCCAGAGGGCTTCATTATGATGCAGTCAAAAGCCATGTGGGAATTAAATGAAGGAGTACCCATATGGCTGTTTACATAAATATCCATCATGCTATTCCCTTTTGGAATAAGATTGTTTTGCAAAGCACAGAAAAACTGTAAGAAGCCATGAGCCGTGAGATTAGAGAATAAACAACATCCTGTAAATTGTAGATTACATGCATTGTACCTCTCTATACTACTCTAACCTTCCTTACATCTACCAAGTCTACATGCTGCTTCATACAGGGCCTTTTGTTCTTTAAACTTCTTACCCATCTTTCAGAGCCCCTCATCAACCCCATCCAACCATTAATTCCTTGGTCTTTACCTTCCTCTCAACGCACTCACTCTTCCTTCTTATATTTATTTTACAATTTGATCATTATTCATTCACAATATGGCAGCAAAGAATTTGAGCTTCATGTATTTCTTGGCTGCTTGCTCTACTGTTTACTAGGTTTACAGGCTGACCTCACAGTGAAACAAAAATACCCTAAAAAGACATACACAGCAACCCAAAGAATTGTGCTTTTCAGTTGCAGGTGTGAAACTAGGGGGGATCAATGTTAGAGCACATACTCTGCACATTGACTGGATGGCAGCTTACTGTTTACAAGGGAAAAAGGGGCTGCGTGTCCCAGAAATCCAGTCCCCATTGCAGCCAAGAGAGGACAGACGGCAGGTGAAGAGATCTGGACTGAAGGGGGCAGTCCTACAGGGAACCCAAAAAACCAGCTGGAGCTGCCTGATGGCCATGACAGAACACACGACTTCAGTCCACCTCCCTGGTGCACATCAAGACACCTTCCATTGCCTGCGTGCGGTA